GATATTAAAATCACTAAGTTCGATCGTATTTTCAGAAACTTCATTAAAAAGTTTATCAAAGTAACTTACCCACCTATGTTTAATATTTTTTTTCTAAGAAAAGTACTTTTTGATTTTCATCTTTAATACACTTTACTTGAGTTAAATCTTTACTTTTCTTTTCTCTTTGTTTGGCTAGTTTATACATATATTTTTCGCCCTCCTTAGTATCTAATCTATTATAAAGATCATTAAAAGCAGAGTTTTTAGCATCACAGATTGTTCTTTTAGACTTCCTGCGGGCCATTTGATATTTTTCTCAGTTTTCTAAGCTTGTACATTTAAACCAATTTTTATAACATAACTTCTTATATTTTATCTTTTCTTGCACATTATTATTCCACCACCAACTATTTTTATTTGTAAAAATTTTTTCTTTTGATTCTCCTAGCACATCTTTTGCTACTTGTTTAATAGTGTTTGTTACTTTATCCCACATAACATTTGCTTCTTCATGAATATCCCAAAATTTGAAATCCTGAATTTTACTCAAAATAATTTTATTTATGTCTTTTAAGTTTCTCCATCTAATTTTACGATGATGAGTCCTAGATGAGTCCTAGTATTTTTTATTTTACAATTTTACAACTCTTAATCTTAAAATCTAAAACTAATAAACGATGTTGAGTACTTAAATTTTTACATGGAATGACCTTACAATTTTTACACTCGCGACATCTCTTCTTCTCATAAGAAAATAATCAATTTGTGTTTTATTAGATCCACTCTTATAAGTAATAAGATGTTCATCTCTTTTCTTAAATAAAGTATTAGTAATAACAAAATCATACGCTAAAGCAAAATCTAAAATCTATCTTCTTCATTAGTCACTCCAAAACGGTAGCCACCATGAATATTTCTAAAATCTTCTACCACTCTACTAACATGTCCGTTTATATCTCCTTCAATAAAAATTCTTTCTTCAAGAGGTATCATTTGTATTACGTCTTCTAAGTCATTCTAGAATTTATCTTTAAACCCTATATCTAAACTAACTTGAGGAGCATAAGTACTTATAATTTTAATAATCTTAGTATCAATAATAATCTTAAAGACTATAATTCTATCTCCAACTCTATTAGTTTTTACAACATTATCTTTCAAACTCTTATCTATAATTACACCTATACTATTTCTAGTGCGACTCTTACCAGAATACCAAAGTGTAGCAGCCCTTGCACACTTTTCACTGTATTCAGGCTATACAGCGCGTCGCTTCCAGAGGACGCCCTAGCACTTACACAATGATCAAAAGGATTCATGTCATGATTTTTTTCGACAAGTTTTACGCTGGCTGTCGACTACCTAACGCAACCCTCCACTTTTCGCATCCGGGCTTCGGACCGGCAACGGCAGTGTTAATGGGTCTCACTCTAAAAAAAATAAATAAATAAAATAAAATAAAATAAAATGTATTACACTGGTCCTGATTGGACACTGGATGCAAATTTGCGTCCGGTGTCCATGCACAATAAAAGCTCCCACTTCAGGGAGAATGATGGCTAGTGTAGAAAGCACAAATATGAGGGAGGATTATCAGGGTGTGTAAGGTTTAGAGTTTAGTGCCGCACCGGTAGTTCAAAATATATTGGTGTAAAAATACCAAGCTATTTGCTCTCAACTATAAACTTAAGCTTTTGAATTAAAAATGGACTTTAACACTAGTACATAGAGCTCAAATTTGATCTCCTTCGATTCACTCTCTAACAACATATTATATTTCCTAAAATAACTTCATAAGAAAATATTGAGTGCAACTAAATATAAATCATGAATAATAATTAAAAAATATTTAAAAATGTTAATAGAATTGATTTGAATCAGCCAGAAAGTTGGCTCAAAATGGATCACTTTTTTTTTTTTTTTTTTTTACTAAAATTGAAATCATAGTCTTTTTCAAGTTGAGAACGGCTAGCTCAAACTTAAAATCAATATCAACCCTATTCAAACCAAATAAATCCTAAGAGAAACAATCTTCCTTTTAAATGATGATCATAATGAGTGGAGCCCCTTCAATTCTGATTAATCATTGTTATCCAAATTTCTACAACACGGTCAATAATTACATTTACGTGAACGATTTTTCCAATTTCATTGATAGCTTGCATCAGTTTAGTGAGTCCAAGCTTCATAAACCAAAGTAAACTTAAGTATGAATTAGTGATGGATACCATAGCGATAATCAAAATGAATACTGAAACTAGAATTTGTGGGAGACAATGAGGAGTGAAAGCTCACCGGGCCCAGCGTCGCGAGCAACCGTACCAGTGACGACGAAGATCCCAGCTCCAATGGAGGCCCCAATCCCCAACAGCAGAAGCTCGAAAAGGCCGAGGCCGCGAACGAGGGCCTCGCCATGGTTGGTGTGCTCTTCGCCTGAGCGCAGAAGGTTCTTCCTACGGAGAGCGGATGCGTAGAAGCCTGAGAAGAAAGAGCGGGAAGAGGATGGCGGTGAGGCGGTTGAGGTGGAGCCTCTCATGCCGGCGGCCATCAGAGGTTTCTCTTGAGAACAGTGGCGTCGCAGAGAAGACGTATTGGGTTTGGTTTTGTTAGAAGCTTAGATCAGAGGAACAATATATCTCACATGTGCTCATGCAGTTTTTTATTGGGGCATTTACACAAGTACCGCTCAACTTTTATATATTTACATGTCTAAACTACATGCTTAACAATTTATAGCAATAAAAATGTGAGTTTTATGTTTTAGTTTTGCACAAAGGTTTTATACACGCAAATAAAAAAAAAAAATACACGAGATACCAAAATTTTTATGTGAAAAACTTAAAAAAAAAACCTCTATAGCTTGGATGAAGAGTTTCATTGAGTAAAATTATATGATTGTATTATCTTCTTCAATTGAAGAAGATGACATTATAAAATAGCACACTAAAGTTTAGTTTCATGTAATTATACCTGAGTTAGAAATGGTAGAAGGATTATTGACGATTAGATAAGATTAGATAATATTAGTCGAATAAAGATTATTAGACTGTTAGTTAGGCAATAGTGGTTGGATAATGATGATCAAGACAATCATAATCAAGTGATAATATTTCAACGATGGTGGTCAATCAACAACAATCAAATGGTAGAGTTCAGTCAACAGTAGTGAATGGAATATTAAGATTGGGTAATTTTGGTCATACAGAGATAACAAGATAAAGATGGTGCCTAGTGATGATTATTTATGTCAAATATCAAATATAGTTATGGAGCTCTTTAGATTTACTTTTTCTCTTTGAATTCAAGTCAAACTCATCTTCATATGAAGAATGTGACTATTTATAACTTTTGAGTATGACATTTTGCTAATTTAAGCCAAAAATTTCATTGTTTATCATACTGCTTATATTAATTCTTTTGATAATAAATTATTTTTTAAGGGTTTAAGTAATTTAATGAACTCAAAATCGAGTGATAAGCTTGTTGGATTTCTCTCATCGCGATGCTTGATTTGATTGCATGTATATAATCAAGTTTGTGCTTTAAGACATCAGCTTTATATTGAAGTTTGGATAGGTTTGCATTCGATAAATGTCTTAAAATTTCTAACCAGCCTTTAAGTACTTAACTTTCACTTATTTGGACTTGAATCAATCCACTCTTAGTATTATTGGATTCATCTTGTCGAAAGATTCAATTTGATAAAAGAATTGCTAAAATCAAATATCGAATAGTCCTAATCTTCATAAAAAAGTTTTATAAAAATTTGTGTTTGATTGAATGAATCTTAAAATAACAGGTTAATATTCATGACTTAAAATACATAATATGTGAAATGAGTTCTTCTAATAATATAACATTATTCTTGACTTAAAGTACAGAATTGGCGTAAATGTGGATTCACATCTTATTTATGTTACATTCACACCAAATATTCAAATGAAAAACTTTATGTTAAAATATTTTGATAAAAGCTTGAAGAAGTACATATTTATCAAAAAATTTAATTTGATATATGTAATTAGTCGAATGTCTCCATTATTTATTTTTTAAGAAAATAGGCCAAAAACTTTTTTTTTTTTGGCTATATAAAAATATAATTCATAATAACCTTCAAGTGAAGAGAGATATAAATTTTTGAACAATAATGATATTCAAGCATCCTACTTACTTACCAACACCTATCTCTGATATTCTTAAAGCTTGTATGATTGGTATGTTGTTAGCTTCATATTAATAATCTCTACCTTTTAATCATCCTTTTTTCAATGTAAATAATGTTGTAGTTTTGTTTATTTTGGTTCAAAATATATTTAACATCAATACCTATAGGCTATATGTTAAGAAAGATTAAAGGAGGCTTTAGCTTTAAGAAACTAATAATGTATAAACTTATAGTAGAAAATTTTAATCATTTTTTAACATTGTTCACATATTAAAACCTAAATTCTAAAAGACATTTGGCAACATATTAATCTTTATAAACAAGTTCTAACTAAGTTTAAAAAAAATTTACCCCTTGTTCATACTATATATTCTAACCTAATTAAAAAAACGCTCAAATAGTTTGAGCATGGTTCAAACATGATTGGAACATAACTTTTTGCTCTCTCTATATATTTTCTTGTGGAATTAATCCATTTGAATATTAGGTGTGTAGGTACTCTTTCTAATCACATTTATAAAGATGTTTTAGACTATTTGAATCATATATAGAGCTAGAAATGTGATGGATAAAAGCATTAGATAATTCCACACTTCTAATCTTCTTGGACAAATTAAGGGAGTTCAAACTTTAATGAAGAAGAGTGCATGACATCAAAATTTTATTACTCTTTAGAAGTGAGGTCAAATTTGGGCATTTTATAGCAATACAAAAAAGTGTCCTATGTATTTACTTGGGCAAAGAAGGTTAAATAGGAAAGTATTAGCTTTATCAATATTAAGTGTTATGACTTTTGAGATTGTGCTCGATTATGTCAATGTCATAATCTGATGTGTTATAACTGTTGTGGTTGAACATATTAAAGTAAAATTATACCACGTTATGTTATAGTTATTGTAATTATATTTGGTGTAATACATTTATATTGTTTTAAGTTATTTAGATTCAATCAAATCAAATTCAAATAAGATTCAAACATGACTCAACTAAATTTAAATATTATTCATATGAGTTCAAACAAAATTTAAACCAACTCTAATTGAATATTATTTGACTTGGAACCTCATATTTGCTATTTATTACTCAGATTTTATGTAGATTACTCAAGTATGAACATTCAATTGTTTAACAAAGTGACAAAAACAATAGACTAACACAACAAAAGCTTTACAACTCCAGTAAAAGAGGCATTTAGATGCATATCACAGAAATTATATATATACATAATACCTAAACTTTGTTATTCACTATATAGCCTATTTAATACTACAATTATATTAAAATTTCTGCATGATAAAATATATTTCACTTTAGAAAAATTAATATTAGTGATTTTTTTTTTTATGTGATGTTAAATATTTGAGTTTCATGCATATTAAGAGCTACTTATGGATATAACAATTGTTAGGCATGCACATTAATCTCTCTTAATGAATTTAATCAGTAATATAACACATACTGACATGAATTGACAACACTGTACATACATTAATTAAAAGCAATCAGTAACATTTACAAACACTTTATATATCATAACAATGGTTATTCGATATATCATTACAAATTGAAAGAGCAAATCTTTTATAATAAAACGCATCAAATATCAAACAATAAACTTGTTTTCTAACAGCCTGCTCATCACATAACTAGGGATGTTAACGAGTTGAGACGGTACAACTCCAAATTAGCTCGTAGCTCGTTATATTTGATTTTGAACCAAGCCAGCTCAAAATTGAATCATACTCGATCCAACCAAAAAATTGAAACTAGTTGGCTCAAATTGAGTAATTTGAATCAATTTCAGCTTGGAATCAGCTTGATCCGGCTCAAAATTGAAACTAACAAGCTCAAATTGAGTTATTTGGATCTATCCAACTCAAAATTGGCTTAAAATTGGCTCATGACTCTTCATATTCAATTTTACTTTGCATTATATATAATTTTTATAAAAACAAAATATTACAAGCCAATCACGAGTCAGTTCGGCCCGATCCATTTATAACTCGAATTTGGCTCAAAAAAAAAAAAAAAATCGATCCAAAATTTCGCCTCATAGCTCTACGCATTTATTACAATCCGATCTCAATACGAGCCAAAATTCGAATCAATTTTCAAACTATCAACAATCTTCGAGCCAAATTCACAGCCTTACACATAGCAACATAATGAAAAAACCCTTTCTTTTACCTGCTGCTTCCTTGGACTATCATTGGTTCATTTTGTTCAGAAATTTAAATAAGGCATGCAGCATTAACTGCAGCCACAATTTATACAGCAATAGTAATAATACACAACCGCTTCAAAGATATAACTATACAAACCCTAAACCTACAGAGCAGTAAAAAGTCCATACCTTCAGTTCTTGGGTTCTTCCTAACTAGGAGTGAAGGGGGATAAAGGAGGGGTATTATCCTGCAAGCCGAACTTATACAGAGTGGAGTCCCAAACCGAAGCAGCCCAACTTGAGATCTGGTGGGGCTGAGTAGGAGACTTATCTTCCAGATATGGCACCATATACTTCTTCATGTCGCTCTTCGATATTCCGAGATGGCTGCCTGGCACGCTCACAAATTTGACTCGCCCGGCTTCATCCAAGGCTCTCAAACCAATCCAGTCTTCAATATATAGTGTGGTCTGCAGTTTCAATGAATCAGTTTTTGTTAGATTGACAAAGAATATAGATCTTTCTCATCCTTGCCTTAATAAGAAGGCCTTCTTCCATGCTGATGTTTGGATTTTGCCTAAATAACTAAAGATTAATGTAGGTACGTACCACTTGATTCCTATGTATTTATATACGTCGGATCACCTATGCATGAAAATATGTATTTCACTTTTTTGAAAGTTAAAATGGTGGTGTTTTGAAGTAATATGAAGGATTCGGGTGGTATAAATGTAAAAAAAATGAAGTTTAGGTGTTCGATATATAAATATATAGGGATTATCTGGTAGTATGTAAATGCCCCGAATTAGAGTTTAAATATTATTTGGAATTGAGATTTAAAAGTTTATTACTACCTAGGAATCGGTCATGCCAAGTATGATTTATGAGCGTCTCTGCAGAAGTAAATTTCTTATATATTTTATAATCAGCAGCCTGCTCGGGTAAGATTAAAACTCGGTTTCAAAAGTGAATCTGAAAACTAGTTGCAGGACAGACATTAATAGACAATCAGAGATCCAACCAGCATTGAAACTTGCTTAAATTAACACTAAGAGAAACCAGTGATGGAATTAAAAAACATTCCAACAATTTATTCCTCATATTATAGAGGAATTTGGTTAAATCAGTACTTAGTATGGAATAACCAATGGTACATATTTGTCGCTGGTCATCAACAGAACTTTGTTCTGCACAACAAAGTTATCACTCAACATCAAACTTATGGGATCCCAAAATTAACTGTTTTCAAAAATTAAATTCATCGTGTTATAGTAAATCTTTATGAGCAGGATTTCACGATCCTAACCTGTTGTGGAGGTAGAACAGGACTGAAGGCACCATCGGGATAATATCCAAACCAAGATGTTTCTCGAGGAATCAGAACACTATCTTGCTCGTTCTAAAAAGACAGGAATCAATTATGTATAGAAGGACAAAAAAAACATAAAAGAAACTCAATAGCAGCAATTGTGCATAAGTTCCAATATATACCATGATAAGAACTAAATTCTTCAGTCTACTGAATTTTTCTTTATACGTAGCATTTCTCTCATCTGGGCGCTCATTGTTGAGCTTTGGAAGAAAGCGGCATCTTTCCAAGTAGTGAGACATGTCCTAAAGCCAACAAATGTTCAGATTTTAACACAAAGAAGCTGCTCAAACTTAGTTCATTCAATGAAATAGATTAAGAATGTTAAGTTCTGAATAATTATTGTATTCTCGAGCACATTAAGAATATAACAGATAAATGTCAAATGCTTGGCAAGAACCAAGCAAGCAAATGCGCACATGAAGACTAAACTTTATTATGGGAACTTGATAAAATAGAACTGAAAATATAAAAAATCTCTGAATGGTTTTTCTTTTTTAGGTAAAATTTATCCATGCCAAAGTTATTTAGATCAACCGAAGCGCAGCACTAAACATTTGCGTGGGAGAATTTGATATACAGAGCATTTCGGGGCACATTTACCATGCTTCCGTAATAATCAATAATCCAATAAAAGAATATGAAAATTAAATATGGAAGATTTCTTAGGAGTAGTTCAAATGACATTCACAATAGAAATATTGACATGCTTCATAACCAGTAAAATTGTAGATAATGATAGCACAATCAAGTTTAATGAAGGGAATGTATATAACACAGTTTCATTAAAGGTTAACCCGCCGCCTAAAATTTAAAAGCAAACTGCTTATTTACTAGTAATCTGTCTCCAGTTTCCTGTGAAGGATTTAAAATATAAAAGCAATATATCTTCAGAAAGTAGGTGCAGAAACACTTGGAATAGCATCTATAAGCAAGCTTGATAGAACCCTTGAGATTTGACATGAACTACAGTTAAATAAGGAAAACAGAAGAGAAGACACTGCTTGACACGGGAGGGACCAAGAAGGTTTTTTTTTTTTTTTTTTCGGAATATTGCTACAGTGCAGCATTTCTGCACTTGTCCATTGCAACCCTCTACTTTTCACATCTGGGTCTTGAGACCTAGCAGTGGCAATGTTATAGGATGTAATGTTAACAAGGATTCATGTAGCCGACCCCACTTAGTGGGATAAAGGCTTGTTGTTGTCGTTGTATTGCTACAATGCTGCTACGGTGCCGCGAACTCCAGGAAGCGAAGTGGCTTGGAGGGGTCAGAAGAGCCGGTCGACCATTCCCTTACGTGATTTCCGCACGGTCCCCTCATATTTGGACCGGGGGTCACTCCTCTTTACCCTAAGACTATTTATATGTTATTTCTTATGTTTTAGGTCAGATTTTGGCTCAGATTTCAGTTAAGACAGCCGCAGGTGTCCGTTTTTCCATCTAAGGGGCGATGTACACAACGGTTGAGTGGTGCTCTGGTTGTATCTCGCTCCCAAGGTGGCAATTTATCCTTCTCACATCATCCTCCTTGCTGCAGCCGCCCCCAAGACAGCAGTTTTTGCTATTTTTCACTGCAGTCTTCTCATTCCAGCACTTTTGGCTCGCTGGCCCTGCCCAGACAGCCTCCCCTTGCTGTCCTACAGTCATCCCGCTTTGCCCCTTTGCTGTCATCAACCGGAAAACAGTAAACCTGCTTTTTTTTCCTGCTGCCCCCTGACTGTTCCAGACTTTTCTACTAGCCCTCGCCGCTCCGCTCACCATCCCATCTGCTGTCGTTGCCGTCCCAGCCCTCAGCTTCACTGCCAACACGATCCCTACCCCTCCTTTCGTTGTCCCAACCCCCTACCACATTTCAACCACCTACCTTTGCTCGCCAACCACCTAGCCGACCTCAACTACCCATGGGTCAAGCCCTAGTATGAGTTTTTATCGTGTTTGTTGTAATTTCCCTTCCAAGTGTATGTGATTGTATCTGCCTATTTGTTCTTCAATAATAATATCTATTTTTCATATTCTGATTTCTATTAACTCCGATATCATTTGGTATCAGAGCTAGTCTAACCATAATCAACATCCGTCATACCCAAAACCTATTTCCACCTAAAATTTTTCATTCACACCCTACATCACGCACCTCCCTCCACCTACCCACGCACAAAACTAAGCCATGCCGTCAAGGAGATAATCGTCAAGGCCTGATTGAGGGGAAATGACACGATGTTTATGAGAAATTCACAAAGGGGTGTCCAGGAGATTTCCAGATAGGATATGGAGTGGGAAACCTGCCAACTACAACGAAGGTTTGCCACAGCCGAGAGGAGGCAATCTAGATGGGTCACCCGTAGCCACAATGGTGAATTGCTAGATCGAAAGAATAAAGTGAATCTCTTCCATCATGCTGATCACAGCGATGAAGAATCTCTACCTCGAAGATGTGACTTGGATCATCTAAGAAGCAAGAATTTTGAAGTAAATGTGGATTTGTCATATTGAGCAGCCACATGGATCCAAACTAGTTCATTGAGTGGCTTTGGAACTTCGAATAAGTATTTGAGTGTCAAGACATCCCACCCGACGGAATGATGAAACTATTTGTCGGTAAGCTAAGGAAAAGTGCATTTGGTGGCAAAATCTGAAGTAATTACGCCATCACAAGGGAAAAGACAAGATCACAACCTGGTCTAAAATGAAATAGGAGATGCAACACTAGTTCCTACCAACTCACTACGAACCGGATGTTCAGACCATAATTTCAAAAGTGGAGAGACTGCACGACAGGGTAACCACCACAACTTATGGGCAAGGTTCAATCCCAGGACTAGGGCCGTCAAAACAGCTTGTTGTTCGCGAACAACTCGTGTTCGGCTCGTTAAGAAGCTCGTGTTCAGTTGTTTGCTAAGTTAACAAGCCGAACACGAACAAAGATTTGTTCATTCGTGTTCGGCTCATTTTAGTTCGAAATACTACTCATCAATTATATATATATATATATATATA